AACCCTAACCCTTACTTAACCCTAATCCTAACCCAAACCCTCACCTAACCCTAACCCTAACCCTAACCCTCAACCTCACCCCTACCCTCACCCTCACCCTCACCTAACCCTAACCCTAACCCTAACTCTAACCCTTAACCTCACCCTCAACCTCACCTAACCATAACCCTAACCCTCAACCTCATCCTCACTCTCACCCCCACCCTTACCCTCACCTAACCCTAACCCTAACCCTCAACCTCATCCTCACCCTCACCCCAACCCTCACCCTGACCTAACCCTAACCCTAACCTTAACCCTCAACCTCACCATCACCCCCACCCTTACCTAACCCTCACCCTCACCTAACCCTCACCCTCACCTTCACCCTCCCGTAATCCTAACCCTCAAACTCACCCTCACACTCACCTAACCGTAACCCTAACTCTTACCTAACCCTAATCCTAACTCTAACCCTCGCCTAACCCTAATCTTGTTAGTCTTCTTGTTTTGATGATGTTTAATAAACAATTTACATCTAATGTTGCTTGTCTAGTGTTTGTGTTTTCGCATTTATTCTAGGCAAACAATGAGTCAAAGGATGGATGGAATCAAGCTTTCACGATCATATCCAATGGAGGTTGGCGGAATAGTGGAGTGAAGCCTTGCAATTCAAGTTGAAGATCCAAGTTCAAGCTTCATCCGCAAAGTGTACCAAGTCAAGCTTATTGAAATACACACACACACATTTATTGGTTTCCATGTATATATATAGTTATATATATACATATATGTTTTGGTTTGATAGTTTTCAAGTTTTACTATGAAACAATTAAATATAATTAGAAAACATATTTTTTTCATACTTACATGCATATATATGATTTCATCAATATCAATTTTATTTAGTTTAATGAAATCATGTTTTAGTGCATTATATGTGTATTTTGGTAAAATACTATATTTATTATTTATAGACTTCATAACAATTGTTTACATCTTTCTTCAAGTCTATAAAATTATTTTGTATTGTTTCAAAACATGGTTAAGCTAAAATGTCAAAACTCATATGTTCACATTTTTATGTTTTGGACTATTTTGTAAAATGATGATATTATTCATTTGGGAGGTCCTTTTTAAAAACCAGTTTTTGTAGCATGTTCATTATCATGTCTACAATCATTTTCCAAAGTTTTATATTTTTTGGAATTTGTTTGATATTTTTAAACAGGGTTTTAAAATCAAAAAATAACTTTCAAACCTGTCATTTCTAGTATCAGTTTGCGGTCGACCACTACAGTCGACCGCCCTTGAGTCCAGAGACTCAGATTATTTTTTGATGGCTCACGGTCGACCCTGACGGTCAACCGGATGCAGTCCAGAGAGTTTCGCGGTCGACCGCCATGGTCGACCGTCTGTTGTCTAGAGCCAAAGCCTGGCCTTTTTGCTGCTCGCGGTCGACCGTGAGTTTTCCATGGTCGACTGCCAAACTGACCGTTGGGTTCCAACGTCTAGTTCCTTAGCTGTTTCTCTGTGGGCTTTTTGGTCATTTCTTTTGGGGTTTTTGGCTGAAATTTTGGGAGGCTATATATACCCCATTGCTCTCATCTTTCAAGGTAACCCAAGAAGTTTTTAAATAAGGTTTAATAAGGGTTTAAGTTTGTTTAGTTTGTTTTAAGTTTGGGGTTTTCTTTTACAAAGAGGAGCTTACATCAATTGTTGAGGAGTTCATTTTAATATCTCATCATCCTCTCTTTGTGTTTATAGAGAAGTTTCCTTAACTCAATTTCCTAGCATTTTTACTATTGTATTTCATATCAATTTTATTGCTAGTTCTTCTTGAGTTAGATTTTTACGATTGTTTACACACACAACCATTGAGCTTATCGTATTTACATTCATAGTATAATTTGGGTTGTGAATTTGTAACATTGAGTGTGAGCTTACATTGTGTTCTCATCCATATTAGAGAACAATTATTTGTTGTATTGTGAGATTGTGAACGTTGATCGGTGAGCATTGAAAACCGATGTTGTGTGGTGTGAACTTTGATCAGTGAGCGTTGAAAACAGATATTATGTGGTGTAAATGTTATTCGGGTGAGCGTAGAAAACCCGGTTGTGATAGTGGATTTCTCCCCGGGAGTGGGGAGCGGAGACGTAGGACGGAAGGTCCGAACTCCGTGATCATATTGTGTGTTTGCTTTGTTTATTTACACCATCTCTCTTATATTGTTCATGTTTATTTCACCCTTATGTTAGTTTGTATATCCTTGCATATATCTCATAGTATATCTCATTGCTAGGATATATTCATTTGTTCATATTGTATATTCTTGCTCATAATTAGTTGTAAATCTATCTTGCAAGAATATATTTGTTAATAAGTTTTAATTGGCATATAATCGGATTAGATTAGCAATAGACCATAATCACCCCCATATAGGGTCTAACAAATCCTATCCCAAACCCTCACCTAACCCTAACCCTAAACCCTTACCCTAACCTAACCCTAACCCTAACCCTCAACCTCAACCTCACCATCACTCCCACCTTCACCCTCACCTAACCCTAACCCTCACCCTCACCTAACCCTAACCCTAACCCTAACCCTCAACCTCAACCTCACCATCACTCCCACCCTCACCTAACCCTAACTCTCACCCTCACCTTCACCCTCCACTAACCCTAACCATAACCTTAACCCTCAAACTCACCCTCACCCTCACCCCCACCCCTCACCCTCACCTAACCCTAACCCTAACCCTAATCCTAACCCTAACCCTCGCCTAACCCTAATCCTAACCCAAACACAAACCCTAACCCTAACCCTCAACCTCACCCTCACCATCACCCCCACCCTCACCTAACCCTAATCCTAACTCTAACCCTCATGTAACCCTAATCCTAACCCAAACCCTAATCCTAACTCTAACCCTAACCCTCACCAAACCCTAACCCTAACCCTCGCCTAACCCTAACCCTAACCATAACCTGTATTAAATTTAATTTTTTTTATATTATAATTTCATCAAGATAAACATTTTTTATTAGGGTTTGGGTTTTTTGCACAATTTTTTTGTTTTGCTAAAATTAAACTCTAATTGTAAAAATTAAATTATAATTACAAAAATTAAGAAATCTCTCTTTCTCCCCCCCCTCTCAATCTCTCCTTCTCTCTCCCTCTCTCTCTCGTCTGGCTGACCGGTGCGTCGGCGGCCGTTGGTCGGTGACCGGTTGACGTCGGCCGACGAGAGAGAGTGAGAGAGAAGGAGAGATTGCACGCGCGGGGGGGAGGAGATTGAGGGGCGCGGGTACCTTGAGAGAGAGGGGGAAATGTAGAGAGAGAGGGGCGGCGGCGGCGTAGACTCCTCCGAACGGTGGCGTCGGCGGCTCGTCGGAACGGCGCCGCGGAAAGGTGGGGGCAGGGGTGAGAACGAGATCAAAGGGGAGAGGGGGGGAATGAGGAGAGGGGGGGGGGAATTGAGACATGGGGGTGCAGGAAAGTTGTCGGATCGGGCGGCGGCGCTGCCACAAAAAATTGGGGCACCCGGCCGCCCAAAAATTTCTCTGATCCCTTTTTTAGCGATGGAAAATCCATCACTAAAAATGTATTTAGCGATAGAAATTTTTCGTCGCTAAAAATTTGTCGGTAAAGTTTTAGTGGCGAAAAATTTCCATCGCTAAAATCACAATTTCTGCCGGCAAAATTTTTTTTGCCTATGGAACTATAGCGACAGAAATTTCCGTCGCTATATGTCATGATATAACGACGGAAATTTCTGTCGCTATAATACCGTAGGCAAAACTCTATTTTCTAGTAGTGTACTTTATCCTTGAGTCAAATTCCAATGCTATAGACACCGATCTATCACTATGTGCTAATAGTTGTCACTACTGAAATGTGATTAGTGTTAGCTATTTCGGCCTTTAGTTTTTTTTTTAAATTATCTATCTTTCATATCTATACTAACGTAGATAGAACCAACTAGAGTAGGAATGAAATAGATGAACGGTGAATGAATCGTTCTTTTCAATTGTTTAAAAAAGGGTAAATTTGTAATTTTACAAGGGATACTTTTTTTTCTCTCTCTTTTCCATTTTTCTTTCTTTCTAGAACATTCTATGCAATTTAATAAAAAAATGATGTGTTTTTCTTTTCTATACCCTTTCTTTCTAGAGCATTCTATGTCACTCAAATGCCATGAAATAAAAATGGAGCCTACATAATTGAACATCGTGAGTTTTTTTTTTTGGCGGGGTGGTGGGGGGTGTATATAAAACACGGTTCTAAGCACATATCTATATTACAATTTATTTACACTAAAGTACGAAGAAAATAACGAGGATAAGATAATTTGGAGGATCTCAAGTCCAAAATGAAGATAAAAGCTCTCGAAAATAAATAAATAAATAAATAACCCTCACTATTTCCTATTAAATATACATTCTAAATAGAATGAAAATAATATGTTTTCATATTACATGCATTCAGAAGTGTCAGATTTCTAGTGCTTAATGAAGAAGACTTTTTAACTTTCAGGTCGTCCATTCAATCCTATTAAAATTCCTTGACCATGTTAATAATACGAGGCTTCACCCTCTCTCCCCTCTTCTCTAATTCCTTATTTTATTACACGGCTAACAAAATGCTCATAGTTAATACCAACGTCCACGGAGAAGTAAGAGCCGGACAAGATTAAACTTACGATTAAATTCTCAAGAACAATTATTGCCTCAACAAAAATTATAATTTCACTCGTACACAGAAAACACACAAATTCCACGTTGGTCAAGACAAAATAAAACCCGTAGCCGGTCAACCTAAAGATCACGCAACCGGTCATAGCCGGTGGGCCGTTAGAATTCAAAACACTGAAGCGGTCAGCGGACTCAATCGCAACGGACGGTCTAGATCGTGATACATGTTCAGATACTGTCCATCCACCGCCCGATCTTCATCGTTCCCTAATTTAAACTGCTGAAGTCCGCCCCCTCCCTTTAATTTCAAAATCCCAAAACAGTAAATCGAAAAAAGATAACAGAGGAAAAAGATCTGATCCCCTTTTTGTAATCTAACTTCAATCGCCGATGCCCGTTCGGTTCCCAGCGACATCTCCGTCTCATCCCCTTCTTGTAAGTTGTATTCCCCTTCTTTTTTTTTGTTTTAAATTTTGGTTTATGCAATTTAGTGAACTATTTTCGTCGAATTTCATTTCTGATTGATTGCTGATTTGACGTAGATTTCGTTTCTTTTACCTCAATTTGGTTGAAATTTGGAGCTTAGGGTGTTTTTTTTTTTGTGAATCGGTTCCTTTTTAGTGAGGCTAATCAGGGTTTTTTTTATTGGTGATTTGAGGGTTTAAGTTACTAAATTGAAACTTTCAATTTAGGCTGATTTTCTTACATTGACCACTTGATGATGCGAATTGAAAATTTCATACTTCGATTTGTTTTTCTTGAAAAGAGATTTTATGAAGATTTCTTTTACAACACTAGTATTTCTAATTCTTTGTTCTTAATTTTTTTTGGGCAGTCTTTGGTTTTGTCTTCTGTGGAGCAATTTCTCAGAGCTTTCAAGGGTTCTGTATGATGCTTTGGAAGCACTATTTCGTAGATTGCTGCATTAGAGTGGAGTTAGGTACTGAGATCCTCACTCCTCAATCGGCAAGAAATGACAATTGACAATGGGAAGCTTCCCGAGAGAAGCGAAACTTCGACCTCTGATGCAGCTGCCACCGATGGGAGATGCGAGGGGTTTCAGAGGCAACGGCCATTCCATGGGTAACTTCTTTTTTCATCTATAGATATCTGCATTTTGTAGGCGAAGTTCTACTTTTTCGCACTTTACTATAAAAGCTGGTCTAAAGTTTTGCAACAACAACAACAACGAAAAAGCCTCTCTCTCCTGAAATTTTGGTCTTAGCTATATGAATCATATTCTTCCATTCTGTTCTATCAAGGATTCTCTACTTCGTTAAGCTAACTATTCCATATCCTTTTTATTGTTTCCAATCAATTTCTTTTAGGTCTACCGCTAGTCTTCTTCACCTCGTTAACCATAGTCTTTACACTATTTTAAACCGGTCAGTTCTCTTTTTATCCTCAAAATAGGCACAGCCTCTAACCTCCTATGAATGCTACCATGTTCTGAAGTTTTGCAAATATTTGAATTTGGCACTCAAATCTACTACTGAATTGCCTTTGCCACTATGACTTTCTTTTGACCAAATGAAGTATGTTGAGTATGTCTAAATGAGTTATTAGGAGACATCAATATGACGATTTGTTTGTTTTTTTCTAGGAGGGTTACTGGACCCACACGCCGCTCCACGAAAGGACAATGGACTGCAGAAGAGGTGACATATATTAGTCCTTATATTAGGAACTGATCTTAGTTTCATTTGTTGGTTCAGATGCATATTTCTTATTCGTATATTTCTTTTCCCAACAAATTTTTATAAGTTTGCTATAACTATATGCAGGATGCCATATTGTGCAAAGCTGTTCAACGTTTTAAAGGGAAGAATTGGAAAAAGATAGGTACAATAAATATGTCTCACTATTTTCTTTATCACATCTAACTTCTATAAGAAGAAGCAACCAAAGTAAACGCTTATATTTACATCATCACATGAGTCTAGTTGAGTTTGTTATTAAGCCTTTCTCTTGCTTAAACTTCTTTAAATTATAATTAGAAGACTGCGCACCTAGTGCAGGATATCTTCTGTTTCTTTAAGATCTTTCTGTTTTGATCTACACTATAGTTTCTGTATAACATCTGTATATAAAACACTGATATGCAACTAGTATACAGTTCAATATTCTGCTGGAGAAATATATGCTTCATCGCATGAGTATTTTAGTCGTAGTGATATTGTGTTCAAGCAAAAAGTTAATGTCATAGTTTTCTTCTTTTATAAGAGAAGCAAAGACACAAGGTAGTCAAATTTCCTTTCTAATATTTGTTTATATAATTATGAAATTGTCCTTGTATATCACTAGTAATTTTTATAATACCAGATTGTTCGTTTTTTGTGATTATTCCTCTTGATTGACAAAGCCTAGCCTTTGACTGCTTTTTATGTTGAATAATCAAGTGCTACGTTTCAAATTTGTTTGTATTAAAAGTTATTTCTTTTTCATTCTATATGTTTTGATTGTTTTACGATGCTGTATCTTCCTTCTGTCCAGCTGAATGCTTCCAAGATCGAAGTGATGTTCAGTGCTTACATAGATGGCAGAAGGTGTTAAACCCTGAGCTCGTCAAGGGACCTTGGACTAAAGAGGTATTCTTTCAGATTTCATTTGCATAACATAAGTCATCTCATTAATCCTCTCTCTATATACACCATGATTTATAATACTCGTATGCTTTATTACTTAAACAGGAAGATGATATTATAGTTGCAATGGTAAACGAACATGGGCCAAAAAAGTGGTCACAGATTGCACAATCATTGCCAGGACGCATCGGAAAGCAATGCCGAGAAAGGTAAATCACTAAGACCTTTTTGTGCACTTAGTGGAACACTTTGCTTTTCAATATTATAAGAGCTTTATGCTTGCGTTTATCTTAAATTTATTTGTCGAATTGGCTTGTCGGGGTTCAGTTCCTACCTGCATTTTTATCACGATCTATTACATTAATTACCTAAGAGTCAAGTGATTAATGGGAACCGAAATGACAACGAGAACTGTAATATAGATGGGACTTCCTGCTGGGGCTATTCAAGACTATATTTGCTTTAAGTTTTACATGCAACTTTTTGGTTATTTGAACTTCATCATTCTCATTTTCTATAGTAGTTATTGTACCTTTTAAGTTATTTTGTAAATTTCTAAAAGTCTTTCAGGTTCTTGTTTGTATTTGCCTGCCATTTAGATTCTTGCTCCTTGTTGCTCCAATGATGCATCTTTTCTTTTAATGTGGTGACACGTGTATTTTAGGTGGCATAATCATCTTAACCCTGCCATAAACAAGGAGGCATGGACTCAAGAAGAGGAGATAGCACTTATTCACGCTCATCAAATTTATGGAAACAAGTGGGCTGAGTTGTCAAAGTTTTTACCTGGAAGGTAACAATTAGAGTTCCCTGTTTGATTTGACACTATTTTGTGGTTTGATTTAGGGATTGTATGTCGTGCTTGCTTACATGCTTAACGTTCACATAGCCAACATCTCGACATATATTACTAATTGGATTAACATCATAACATTACCAAGTTTATATATTATATTAATCTCCATTTATGTAGACTTCTTCCATTTGTCCATGATGTCCTGAATAGATGTCAAGCAAGTTAGGAACCAGTTACTTGCTTTACATCTAACTCAGCTAATATTTTCTACATTGCATTGGTAATTGTTGATAATGGATTGAATTTAGCCAAACATCACTGGAGGTCAAAAATGGAGGCCGAGCTTTATTCTTTTGTCAACAACATCAAGCTGGGATTGAATCAGTGGCCGGAGTTATTGACAACAAGAGAGAAAGGAGCTGACAGAGAGCCTCCTTTTGTTGAAAATGGAGGGGCTAAGAGACAAAAAGGTGTTGCTGATTGGTGGAGGAAGAAGAAAGGTGTTGCTGATTGGTGGAAATATGTTGATTGGTGGCATGATTGGTGGCTTAAATTATGCTAATGAAGCCTATAAATCTGCTACACCTCTCCTATCTGAAAATCATTGATCCTCCGAAGCAATCCTTGACAGAGCCATTTGAGTGAGAGCAAAAACAAAAGAGAGTCTGCTAAAACTTTGTATGTGCATTGTATTTGAGAGATTGAATATAGTGAAAGCCCCCTCTTGCTGTGGACGTAGATCAATTTGATCGAACCACGTAAACATTCTGTGTTTGAGATTGTTCTCTTTCTGGCTTTGTGTTTTTTAATTATCCCAACAAACTGGTATCAGAGCTTCTGGTTCTAGGACAGCTTACAATCCTACACAATGGCTTCTGTGAAGTTCTCGGTATCGATCTTTGATGGCCAGAACAATTTCGGCCTATGGAGGATAAAGATGAAGGCTTTGTTGCGACGTGAAGGCACGGTTAAAGCTATCGATGGGAAATACCCAGAAGATATGACTAGTGCCGAGATCGAAGAGATGGACGAAAAGGCTCACAACGCCTTGCAATTGTCACTATCTGACAATGTGCTTCGTGAAGTTGCCGATGAGGAAACGGCAGCGGGGTTGTGGTCAAAGCTCGAAAGTCTCTATTTGAAGAAATCTCTTACTACGAGATTATACCTGAAGCAGCGGCTATACACATTGAAGATGAAAGAAGGTACACCCATTCAAGAACACCTTGATGAATTTAATAAAATTGTCATGGATATGAAAAACCTGGATCTTAAACTTGATGATGAAGACCAGGCTCTCATTGTGTTATGTTCCTTGCCTAACTCTTATGAAAACTTTGTTAACTCTATGTTGTATGGAAGAGAATCCATAAGTCTTGAGGATGTGAAGGCCTCTTTGAACTCTGCTGAGTTGAGAACAAAGTTGAATGGGAGAGGTACCGATAGGCTGGTTGATGGTCTGCTAGCCAGAGGTAGATCGAAGACCAGAGAGGACGATAAATGGCAATCCAGAAATCGTTCAAAGTCCAGGTCAGCCCCAAACAAGAAAAATGTGGAGTGTTTCTGCTGTCACAAGAAAGGACATTACAAGTCAGAATGCTATGCTCTAAAGAAGAAAGACAACCAGCGTGGTGAAACCTCAGATTCAGCTAATACGGCAAAGACTGATACTGTCGTTATTGCTGAGACGGTTCTTGCAGTATGTCCCTTGGATGGCCGTTCCGATAGAGAATGGATCTTGGATACAGGTGCGTCTTTTCATATGTGTCCAAATAAAGATTGGTTCACTACTTACAGATCTATAAGTGGTGAATCAGTTTTGATGGGCAACAATGTAGTTTGCAAGACAGTTGTCATTGGTACAGTTCGCATTCGGTGTCATGATGGGATAGTGAGAACTTTATCAGATGTGAGACACATCCCGGACTTAAAGAAAAATTTGATTTCTCTGAGTTCTTTGGATTCTATTGGGTGTTTTTACACTGGCGAAGGTGGAGCTCTTAGAGTTACTAAGGGTTCATTGGTTGTGATGAAAGGTAGTAAGGTGAACAGTCTTTATGTTCTCCAAGGCAATACGGTGACAGGCTCTGCAGGTGTGTCTTCTGATGCTGATAGGGACACTACTCAGTTGTGGCACATGCGCTTAGGCCACATGAGTGAGAAGGGAATGGCTATTTTGAGTAAACGTGGCTTACTCTGTGGTGATCATACATCATCACTTGATTTCTGTGAGCATTGTGTGTTTGGGAAGCAAACTCGGGTCAGCTTCTCGACTGGCTCACATACAACGAAGGGCACTCTCGACTACATCCATTCAGATTTGTGGGGACCTGCCAGGTTCCATCCAAAGGTGGTGCTCTTTATTTTCTGACGTTTATTGATGATTTTTCCAAGAAAGTTTGGGTTTACTTTCTCGGGCATAAAAGCGAGGTGTTCGAAACTTTCAAGAAGTGGAAAGTGCTTGTTGAGAATCAAACTGGAAAGAAGATTAAACGTCTCCGAACAGATAATGGCCTAGAGTTCTACAGTGGTGAGTTCAATCAGTTCTGCTCAAATTCTGGGATCGTACGACATCGCACGGTCAGGTACACTCCTCAGCAAAACGGGGTGGCAGAACGCATGAATAGAACGTTGATGGAGAGAGCTAGGTGTATGCTCTCAAACTCTGGCTTGGATAAAGGCTTCTGGGCTGAAGCTGTTAACACAGCTTGTTACTTGGTAAATCGGTCTCCTTCTACAGCCATTGAACACAAGACTCCAAATAAGGTATGGTCAGGTAAACCAAATGACTATTCAAATTTAAAGATATTTGGATGTCCTGCTTATTATCATGTTAGAGAGGGTAAGCTTGAGCCTAGAGCTAAGAAATACATATTTATTGGTTATGCTGATGGCGTTAAAGGCTATCGTTTGTGGAGTCTTGAACCTTATTCTCCTAAATTCATTATTAGTAGAGATGTTACTTTTAATGAAAGATATATGCTTGATCGTGAGAAGGTTTCTGTTGAGTCTACAGGAAATGTAGAGAAGACCATGGATAAGGTGGAGCTTCAGGTGGAGCTCGAGGGAGAGACGTCTCAAAAGTCGTCTATAAAATTTGCTCCTACAGCTGTAGAAGAGCAACATGATTCAGGCTCAGATGCTGATAATGCTGAGACTGAAGAACCTTATTCCATAGCCACTGGCAGAGAGAGGAGACAGATCAAACCTTCTTAAAGATATGCACATGCTGAATTAGTGACGTATGCTCTCACGACAGCTGAAGAGATGAGTATTTAAGAGCCATCAAACTTTACTGAAGCTGTCTCATACGGAGAATCTGGATGTTGGGCCACAGCTATGATAGAAGAACTCGAGTCACTCTATAAGAATCAGACTTGGGATTTGGTGCAATTACCTAAGGGTAAAAGGGCAATTGGATGCAAGTGGATTTTTAAGAAAAAAGAAGGGATCCCAGGGGTTGAAGATGCTAGATTCAAAGCACGGTTGGTGGCTAAGGGTTATAGACAAAAGGAGGAAATTGACTATGATGAAGTGTTCTCTCCGGTTGTGAAGCATACCTCCATCCGTGTATTGCTTGCCATGGTTGCTCTATTTGATCTGGAGCTTGAGCAGCTTGATGTGAAGACTGCATTTTTGCATGGCGAACTTGAGGAGACTATCTATATGTCTCAGCCAGAGGGATACTTCGTAGAAGGTAAAGAAGATCAAGTTTGCAGATTGAAGAAATCTTTGTACGGCCTGAAGCAATCTCCCAGACAGTGGTACAAGAGGTTTGATAATTTTATGCTTAGTCATGGGTACTCAAGAAGTACTTATGATAGTTGTGTGTACTACATGCATCTAGGAGATGATTCTTTTATTTATCTTCTATTATATGTCGATGACATGCTTATTGCTGCTAAGAACATGTCACAGATTCTTATTTTGAAGAAACAACTCAGTGATGAGTTTAAGATGAAAGATCTTGGTGCAGCAAAGAAGATCTTAGGTATGGAGATCAGGAGGGACAGGAAAGCTGAAATATTATATCTCTCACAGAAGAGCTATATTAAAAAGGTACTTGAACGTTTTGGGATGAAGAAGGCCAAACCCGTTACAATTCCATTGGCTCCTCACTTTAGGCTCTCGGCTTCAGATTCACCTACAAGTGAGAACGAGAAGAAGGAGATGTCCCGAGTTCCATACTCTAATGCAGTGGGTAGCATTATGTATGCTATGATTTGCACTCGTCCAGACATTGCCCAGGCAGTCAGTGTAGTGAGCAGATACATGGCTCAACCAGGGAAGGCACACTGGGAGGCAGTGAAGTGGATCCTTCGGTATCTCAGGGGTACCTCAGATTTGGGTTTAGTTTTTTATAGCAATACTTTGCGAACATCTGTTGTAGGTTTTGTGGATTCTGACTATGCAGGTGATCTCGATAAAAGGAGATCTTTGACTGGTTATCTTTTTACTCTTTCTGGCTCAGCTATTAGTTGGAGATCGACTCTACAGTCGACAATGTTTTAAATGTCGGATGTCGGGTTCATGTCGGTTGGCCAAAATTCATGTCGGATAGCGGAAATCGGGGATATATCGGGGACATGAAAAAAAATATCGGATTGCCATATCGGATAGGTTGATATAATATCATAAATAGAATCTTCACTTACATGATAATTATATTGTCTAAACATATGAAAAAGTACATAACTTATTGATGTTAAGATCACTAACCAATTGTAGACACCTGATTTCCGAGTCGGGTTTTTCAAACTTGACCCAATAAGCTTAAAACCGCTTTTTCTGAAATTTGGCCGATATTTCTTGGCCGCAATGGCGCCCGACATACCCGATATTTTCCGACATGTCCCCGACATGACCTCAGAAACGCAATACGCATTGAAATGAAGGATATCGTGGCGGCTAGGGTATAAAACCGTCATATCGGCCACCATGTCCGACATGACAAACGGTATTTAAAACTACTGACAGTGACAGTTGCTTTTGTCTACTACAGACGGCAGAATAATTGGCAGCAGCAGAAGCAGTAAAAGAGGCCATTTGGTGAGAAATCTGTGAGGGAGCTTGGACTTCAGCAGGAGGCTAGCTCAGTTGTATTTTGCGACAATCAGAGCGCAATACATCTAAGCAAAAACTCCAGCACATCATGAGAGGACAAAGCATATTGATGTCAGATATCATTTCATTCGTGGGCAACTGCTGAAAGAAATATCACAATGAAGAAGATTGGTACTGCAGACAACCCAGCCTGACATTGTTACCAAACCGATCCCGGCCTTCAAGTTCAAGCACTGCTTGAATTTGGGAGGCATTCGCAGTTGTTAGCTAGCCCCGTTTGGGGCATTGTTTGCAAGAGCGGTCGAGTTTCACTTATTCTATTATGAAGTGTACTCTCACGTTAAGTTGTGTTCATGATGAATATTCAACTTCTTGATGTTTGAAAATTCAATCCAAGGTGGAGATTGTTGATAATGATTGAATTTAGCCAAACATCACTGAGGTCAAAATGCGAGGCTGAGCTTTATTCTTTTGTCAACAACATCAAGCTGGGATTGAATCAGTGGCTGGATGTTATTGACAACAAGAGAGAAAGGAGACTGACAGAGAGCCTCCTTTTGTTTGAAAATGGAGGGGCTAAGAGACAAAAAGGTGTTGCTGATTGGTGGAGGAAGAAGAAAGGTTGTTGCTGATTGGCTGAAATATGTTGGATTGGTTGCTTTAAATTATGCTAATGAAGCCTATAAATCTGCTACACCCTCCTATTGAAAAAATCAGACAGTCGACAGTTGCTTTGTCTACTACAGAGGCAGAATATTATTGCAGCAGCAGAAGCAGTAAAAGAGGCCATTTGGTGAGAAATCTCGTGAGGGAGCTTGGACTTCAGCAGGAGGCTAGTTCAGTTGTATTTTGCGACAATCAGAGCGCAATACATCTAAGCAAAAACTCAGCACATCATGAGGAGGACAAAGCATATTGATGTCAGATATCATTTCATTCGTGAGGCAACTGCTGAAAGAAATATCACAATGAAGAAGATTGGTACTGCAGACAACCCAGCTGACATGTTGTACCAAACCGATCCCGGCCTTCAAGTTCAAGCACTGCTTGAATTTGGGAGGCATTCGCAGTTGTTAGCTAGCCCCGTTTGGGGCATTGTTTGCAAGAGGGGGTCGAGTTTCACTTATTCTATTATGAAGTGTACTCTCACGTTAAGTTGTGTTCATGATGAATATTCAACTTCTTGATGTTTGAAAATTCAATCCAAGGTGGAGATGTTGATAATGGATTGAATTTAGCCAAACATCACTGGAGCGTCAAAATGGAGGCTGAGCTTTATTCTTTTGTCAACAACATCAAGCTGGGATTGAATCAGTGGCTGGAGTTATTGACAACAAGAGAGAAAGGAGCTGACAGAGAGCCTCCTTTTGTTTGAAAATGGAGGGGGCTAAGAGACAAAAAGGTGTTGCTGATTGGTGGAGGAAGAAGAAAGGTGTTTGCTGATTGGTGAAATATGTTGATTGGTGGCTTAAATTATGCTAATGAAGCCTATAAATCTGCTACACCTCTCCTATTTGAAAATCATTGATCCTCCGAAGCAATCCTTGACAGAGCCATTTGAGTGAGAGCAAAAACAAAGAGAGGTCTGCTAAAACTTTGTATGTGCATTTGTATTTGAGAGATTGAATATAGTGAAAGCCCCCTCTTGCCTGTGGACGTAGATCAATTTGATCAACTACGTAAACATTCTGTGTTTTGAGATTGTTCTCTTTCTGGCTTTGTGTTTTTTAATTATCCCAACAGTAATAGTTACCTCTTACTTTTCCATGTTTCACATTCTTCTATGAATATCATGCCTTCCTTCTCCCGGTGTGCATCCAAATGCTTTTCCCTACATGTCAGTACTATTTTCTGGAATAGACGTAACGCAAATTAGGAACTAGTTACTTGCTTTACATCTTACTCAACTAATATTTTCTGCATTGCCTTTAGGTAATAATTACCTCTTATTTTCCAGTGTGCATAGTCCTTTTCTATGAATATCATCTCCAATGCCCATCCGAGATGCTTTTGCCATTGCAGATGCATGTTGGCTTGTTCTTTCATCAAAAACAATAAATGATATATCATCTTTGGGTACTAATAACTTTGTTAGAGCCCATCGACAGCTGTCAAGTTAAACTACTTTCTCATTCTGTAACCCAATGGTTAATCACCTTATATTATGCCCTTGTGCAATCAAGTTAATCAATAGATGAGTAGAGCATAGTAGATTTTCTTTTTCATTGGAATGTAGTACAATTTCTGTTTTTGCATTTCTTTTGATCTGTTTCCCTTCTCTTGCCATTGTTATTGAAATAACATCCTGCCTCGTGTTATCAGGACAGATAATGCAATTAAAAATCATTGGCACAGCTCTGTAAAGAAAAAGTTGGACTACTATCAGTCATCCGGATTACTTGCACAATTCCAAGGCCTGCCTTCTGTTGATATCACTAGACACATGGATCCTTCATCAGCAATGAATCGGCTTAAGATTGAGGAGAGTATCCTCAGGGACAAGCCAGAGTTTGATGATTCTTCAGAATGTAGCCAGAAGTTAGCTCAGACAATTTCTCCCCAGTCACATTGTGAATTGAATGCTAATTTGACGGTACGCGAAAATTTTAAGCCAGATGAGGATTCTGTTAAAATGGAGGCAACAAACACAGAGGAACATCATGAATATTATGCATCTCTGGGAGATGCTGCATATGCCCCTGAATTGCATTGTTCTTGGGGTTTAATTTCTGTAATTGGTTCTGACCAAATTTCATTAGGCAAGGACGAAGTATCTGAAAATATGGCTTGTCGGACAGTCTCTAACAGAACAAGTCATCCTTCTGCAGAAATCAGCCAGAAATCACAAACGTTAATGAAAATGGCAGAACACGTTCCAAGTTATGCTGATGCAAATTATGGACACGAATCTAAGTTGTTTCAAGATGAGTTTAGAGAGAAGTACTCTACCTCTACAACCTCCATGTTTGGTTCTGAGCAGCAAAAGCTTTCGGTGTCTGAGGCAGACCGCTCTACCAGTGTGGTGTTTGAGGGAATGAATTCAGATTTTGCTTTTGGAGGTCCCATCTTTTCTTCTGGTACTGTAAATATGAATTGTTTCCAGGAAACTGTAAATTGGCAATCTGAAATTCAAAGTTTCAGCTGTTGTGTGAATCCTTCTTCCAGTTCACAAATGTTGTTTCCAGCCATTTCATCAGATGCTGCAGGAGTTCCATATCATGAAAGTCTTATGGTTGCAGTTTCTCCATCTTTTATTGGTCAAAATGAAAGGAAGCTTCTGGGTAAAAGCAGCAATGTTACTACAGCTGGTGCTCCAGATTTAGAGGTTACTACATGCTCACATGATGAGTTTGTATCGTCCAGCTCTCCATCAATGGCAGCTGGTGATAGCGATAGGTCTATGATTTCTCTGCCATCATATATCAATCAAGAAAAAGAAACTCGAAAGCAAACTTTTATGGAGATGCTCAGGTTTGATCATACAGGTACAAGTGAAAACCTTGCCCTCTCTGAAGAAAATGGAAATGAACAAGCTGAATGTCAAAAATCTGGTGGGCTATTTTATGAACCCCCTCGTGTTCCGACATTTGAACTTCCATTTTTCAGTTGCGATGTCATTTCTTCTAGTGAACAACAAGAATTTAGTCCCCTTGGAATACGGAAAATCATGATGTCTTCAACACCGTATAGTATATGGGATTCACCCTCTCCTGATGATAGTCCTGATGCTATTCTGAAGAGTGCTGCTAAACATTTCATGTTTACACCTTCCATTATGAAGAAACGCCAGCGTGAACTATTGTCACCATTGCAGGAGAAGAGAACAGATAAGAAAACCTGGAGAGACACAAAACCTGGATTTATGTATACATCCTGTTTAAGCGAGGAGTTAGGAGAAGATAATGCAGATAGGATTTCCTCGTGCTCTGCTGAGGATTTTCTGGTGTCCCCTCCTGAACAGAAAAAGGATTCAAGAGCTTCTGCAGAAAGTCAGGATACTTCTGTACAAGAAGGAAGCTCTTCATGGAGAGGATCTATTACCAACAGCCTTCAAGAAAAGATGGAAGTCTCTGTGACTAAAATCAAGGTATGAGAATTGTTGCAGACCTTCTACAAGCTTCATCAAGTTCTTTCAGTGCACTAATATACATGTTTCTATGCTTAGATACTATGAATCGATCTACAACTCTGATTAGTTGAAACAGATGTGTTTGTTCCATCATATCTATTCTTCGTAGCTGGCATGAACTAATTGGAAGGCATGCCAAGCTTTGTGCTTGTGGATCATGAAATAGACTCCCTTACATTGTTCAAGTTGTTTCTTCATTTTCCGGGTGCTGTCTTTTCTTGTTGGTTCCTATTTGCATATTCCTTGTGCTTTTTTGGATTTGTGTATATGCAATTTTTTATTTCTATTTTTTTTCTTTTGCCTTTCCTATGTAGGTGTACCTTTGCTTAAGCAGCACACTGAAATCAAAATTGACATTAAGCTATGTATTATGGATTCTTCTATCTTGACATGATAATGGATGGACGCTCCTTGGTCTATCCTTGACACGGTACTGTATCTTGAAACATTGCCCATGTTCCAAGAGCGGCACAAGGAAATCAAAATTAACATGGAGACTATGTATTATAGATGCTTCTATCTTGAAGCCCTGTCCATGATGGATGGACATTCCTTGGTCTATTCGTGACATATTACAATACTGAAACCATGCTCATATTCCAAAGCAATTTTCAAGATGAGCGGAACTGTATTATTGACAGATTAACCTTTGTTAGTTTCTCATTGTTAATAAGGGAAACTTTTTTGTATGTTTATGTTGTTGCTTAAACTCTTGAATCTTGTATTTTTTTTATAGCAGTGTGACCCGTTTGCATTCATTCAACAGCCTGCTGGGATACTTACAGAACGAAATATCAATGACCAGCTACTATATATTTCTCCAGAAAATAGACGTGGAAGTCTAGGTGATGCTGGGAACTCTTCAGAAAACCTAAGTGCCAGGTTCTTGGGTAATCTTTCAAAGAAGGACGGCGAAAATGCTTATTCTAGACCCCTGACTGATAGTTGCACTCTCTTATCTTCCGATGCTCGTGAAAGTAATCAGGTTTGCGGGTCAGTGTCCGTAACATCAATGCAATGTGCCTCATCCTCTCCTTCATCCCAAGTTTCAGCTGGGAAGTTCATCGGAGAACATAAAAACCTTAACATGTAAGTTTAGTTTTGTCAACTGATTGTCTGATGGCTTGCATTAATCTTCTTCTGCTAGTATGCTTATGGTGCATATATTGTGGTAGGCTCTTGAGATTTTTTTATTACTTTTGCCAAAATTTCCTCTGCTACCAATATGTGGTAGGCCATCCAAATTGACGATCCACATAGCATCAATCATGTATGGATTGACAATTATTTGTCTAAACTCTGTGGAACATGAAAACTTGATTAAGGTCAGTTTTGCTTAGCAGATGCTTACATCTTACATGGAATTTAAAAAAGGTAATATCCCAATTCTTTGTTCTTGGACAAAATACACATACATATATAATTGAGATTTCGTTGTACACAGTGACATGCTTTAAGCACGTTCCAAACACCAAATTATATGACAGGTAGCCAAACTGGATAGGGATTTATTTTACTTCTCTGAATAATACATACATTGAAAATTATTAGAAAATTGTTGAACTTTAGGAACAAACTTGAAATTGTTCTTTCCATCTTTTGCATACCAAATTACATAGTCAGCCATCCAAGTGGATCATGCATACACCAAAGAGCGAATAAATATTGAAACGCCTTTGTGTTTGCTTTATCTTTTAATGTGGCATGTGGAAATTTACCGAAATAAATGGATGATGCACATACATTACAAAAGGCATGCACATTGGAAAATATATGTGTGTGTTTTATCTTTTAATGTGGGATGTGAAATGTCACACCTCGGGCTCACAAGCCCATTGCGTGATGTAAGTTGTGGGAACCACTGAGTGTAACACAATGTTTTAGCTAGGCTAGACCACTGCTAAAGGTAACGAGCCACTATTGCACATGAGTCCACATCTTCATCATGTAAACCACTCAATTATTCACTCACCCACCGATGTGGGATTAAACATTAGGCGTCACAATCGCCTCACCTTAATTATGTGATATTTTCGTCACGACGTGACAATGAGCCCAGTTTAATATTATGAGGCGGCATGGATTCTAGAGGTGGCTCCCACCACACAAATGCGGTGTAGCATTTAGTCCCGCACTTCTGGCTAGCTAATTGCTCTGATAACATCTTTTACGTGTTGGGAAATTTACATAAATTTCCCTATAACTAGATTTACGAGAAAGCAAAATAAATACGGAATAATAAGACACAAATTTAACGTGGTTCGGCACAAAATTGCCTACGTCCAGATCTTTCACAAAGGGGAGAAAATTTACAAGTGTTTTTACACTCAACTCACAAGAGAAAAATTTCTCTAATTTTTTCTCACAAAACCACTCTCTGATTTTGTCTCTCTTTTCAAAACACTCAGTAGATCAGGATACACTCAGCTGATTTTTTTTATATTGATTAAGGGGGGAGGAAGGGGGCTTTTATAGCCTGCGTATAACCCCCCCTTTTTTTTCTTCCTTCCCTTTTTGATTCTTGCTCTCATTGTTCCTTTCGGTGTTTTCTTTGTCAACAAAGAACAGTCCCTGCTTTTGATGGCTTGATTTTGTTGACAAAAGCAAAGACAGCCAATCTTGATAATCTCCCACTTGAAGGTTGATTTTACTTTATCTTCACATCTCGATCTATGTAGCAACTCTTCCCGATCTTGATACTATTGTAGGCCAACTGAAGCTGAACACAGCTTCAGTTTTTTAGTAGTCACCGTCTTTGTCAGCATGTTTGTCGGATTTTGTGCTCTACTGATCTTTTCAAGTTTTAAAATTCCATCTTTCAGAAGTGACAGGATAAAATGATATCGCACCTGTATGTGCTTCGTTCTGGAATGAAAAGATGAATTCTTCACTAGATGAATAGCACTTTGACTGTCGCAATATAAAACATTCTCTTCTTGTTTCTTGCCTAATTCATCCAAGAAACTTTGAAGCCAAACCATTTTCTTATTGGATTCTGTAATAGCGACGTATTCTGCTTCAGTTGTGGAGAGAGCAACTATCTTCTGCAATTGAGAAACCCAACTCATTGCAGTGCCTCCTAGAGTATAGACATACTCTGTAGTGCTCTTTCTAATATCAACATATTCTGATAAATCAGCATCCACATAACCTGTTAGTATTATATCTCCACCTTTGAAACAAAGTGTTTTACCTGTGGTGCTCCGTAGATATCTGAGAATCCATTTGACTGCTTCCTAGTGTACATTGCTTGGATTATTCATGTATTGCTAACAGGTCCCACTGTTTGAGCAATATCTAGTCTTATACAAATTATGGCATACATCAGACTTCTAATTGTTGATGCATACGGGACATTC